ATTGCTCAAGACTTTGTAGGCCGCAGGCGGGTCTAGATGCCTGTTTACAGAGTTGGCATCTGTGTACCATGCCTCAAGCGCCAGCCTTTAGGCAATAAGGTTCCTCCGCCGAACCCCGAATCTTTCAAAAGGGCGTCCAAAGAGGATGCCCGTGGCGGGCTCTCTTGTTACATGCTTGCGATCGCGCGGGCAGTTTGCGAACAGTGTACCGTTGCAGCAACATACAGTCCCCCTCCCCTCCCCCCGCAAAAAGTATGCAGAGTACGTACCGAAGGCACACTGAGCCTCCTTAAGGGGATGCTGCCCGTTAAGAAATAGAAGTGAGCACTTTGGTGGTGGACTTGGTGTGCTGATTAGCATACAATCAATTAAAGGAGTAGGCTGGTCGAGTACCGGAACAGTTTGTTGTGAGCTTTCAAACTCATCACAGCATTATCACAAGTTTCTACTCCCACTCGCGAAACAGGCTATGGATTCAACTTAGCAGTCGTCCAGATATATCGAGGAATGTTAAGGTTGATTATATTAAACCCTAACGGCTGCGATCTTCCAGGCCCGTTTCCTTAGAAGAAGAGAGAAGTCATGGAAAGGCTGGTGCGGTAGGAAGCATGCTTTCTGCACAGAGGGATTGAAAAATAGATGGGAGGAAGTTTTGACTGTCGGAGCGCAGGTATGCACCCGAGCGCGTCAGTGTCCGAAGTGATGTCTGGCCACAATCACCATATTGAAGACTGCTTCCACACGGATTGAGGTCAAGCCACTGTGGATTGGGGCCAGGACGGGAAATGCACAGTACGTACGTTTCCAAGGCGTCACATTGCGCCTATCTCCCGCGGCACGGCCGAGAACTGCCCTTTCATGAGGTCATATACGCGGAGTGACCTCGTCTGTGACGTCACGGGTTTGGGCTGCAGAAACACTACAGGAACTCGTCCCCCCGCCGAAATCAAAGGAACTGATTGAAACCTGGTTCAGGGATTGGAACTCAATCAATCGACGCATTGATTTGGAACCGGCACACAGAGCACTATGTTGTCATTTCCGGACGTTCGTAAATGATGATTGCTTGGTTTACATTCCCTTTCGTTGTTGCTGTTGTTAACTCTGACGATGACCTCCCGTAGGCGTTTGAAAGTTCGTGACAGTAAACTAACACGGCAAGCCTTCTCCGTTCTTGGGGTAAACATCCGGAACGCGAATCTTCGTATGCATTTATGCAATGAAGTTGTATGCCGGTCTTCCTGTGCAACTCCCGGTACCCTTCTATGATTGGGGAAACTTGATCTGAACATCGACTGAAATGACCAAAACTTTAGATGTTGCTGCACTCCAGTAGTCCTTCGCGTCGAAGTTGCACACAAAAAAGACGATCCCAGTTATGAAAGCCAGACCGGAATGCTGGAAAATATTATACACGCTTAGCGGAAAATTTAGAACTCACTTATATTTCAAGCAAAGTGAAGGAGTCTTTCATTCACCGTTCGCTTAATGCACTCGATGATTATGTTGCTCGCTTATTGAGAGCCGCTTCACGCTTCTTGTTGGTTAAGTCAATGTTCATGCATCCCTAGGCGAAAAGATGTTCAGACCTCGCTAGATATTCGTTTCATTTGTGGTGTTAAATGCGCAGTACTCGACAAGGAGGTCGTCAGATATTCTAGCTATTTGTGTGTGTGAATACATTTGTTTTTTTTTGCCAAAGCACCTCACGCGGTAAGACGTTGTCCGCAAACTGCTCAACACTATTACTCACTTAGTACGCGCTTCCATTTGTCTCTTCTAGCGAATGGTTTTTCCAACTATCGCGGGACTTCTTCAATCCAATGTTCGGTCTCTTTGAGTACACTGGTGCCCACTACGCCCTACAGATCAACCCAGCTTCGGACGTAAACGTTGCTCACCTTGATTACTTTCATTTCATCGGCCGGGTGATTGGAATGGTGAGTCT